GCCGAGCATGCGCTGCGCGACGACCACAGCGCTTTAACTTTTATAATTGCTGGTTAGAGTTTTAGGTTTCACGCCACAACTAGAATTTGTATCTTGCCAGCCATGTACGTTACTTCCCATATGCACCCACGTAATTCCCTCTATTTTGAAATATTGTAATATTATTATTACTATTAATACTAATATTTTTATTATTAACTGAAACTGCCTGTACGTTCTAGCATACTAACGTACCTTCCATGGTTCTAGTGATGAGGCATGTAATTATAATTTTCATGTAAGGTTAATATTAGGTTGCTTACTAGTTGCGTGTTTTTCCGACGACTTAAATGTTGAATGATGTATGGCCATGTTTATTTTCTGTTTATAAATGTAAAATTGAATTTTATTGTAATACTAGTAGTATCGAGCTTAGAACAATTAGCTATATTTGAACTGTGAAATCTTCGTACAGACTTTTGTATTTATTATAGAGTACAGCAAACAATATTAGTCCGCTTTGCCTGATATTATACAAAGTATATCGGTAACCATGGAAATAACTAACAGCGTCATGCGTAAAACTGCCTGCTATTTGCAGTACTTCGAAGTGACATCGTCCGGTAGATACTCATTTATCACTGATCAGTTTCAGATTGATAATTCGAGCCGACCCGACGTAAATAATTGTTAAATCCTGATGTACCACGGACATACAATTTTATCTGAAGAGCGTCTTCAACGACGAAATATTATACTACAGCTAAGTTTAGATTCTATTTTTACATTCGTGCTTTTGATGTTATTTCCATGATTTACTTGTTCTTTCTCTGTTCAAAGTGAGTTTATAAATAAGTCGCGTTCGAATAAGTTTCCAATGAAAATAGCGACTTCGCGATTTTCGCATAGGGTTGTCTCTGTATTCTGGCGGCCATACTGAATGGAACATTTAATTACCGGTACGTACTATTAATTCAAAGTGCATTTAAGGTAGAATGCTACCCGCGAATTTTTCAGCTGTGCACAGATTACATATAGCAGTGATAATATATCGTGTCAAAACCTGTCCATAATTCATTCGTTTTAGTATTAATCAAAAGTACACTTTTTTGGTTCACTTTCAATCGTTTTTTTTTTTGTGTGTGTGTTTTTAGGGAAAAAAAACGCTAAAATGATACGCATCAAATGCCAATTCAGTAGTAGTTTCAATAGACTATATTGTTAATACTTCTAGACATCAAAACAGTATATATCTTTGTTTTACCACATTAAACTGGTTTTAAGTATTTAGATATTTATGAATGGACTTTCAATCAGCTACGGGCAAGTGTGATTGGAAGTAATGCCTACAGCCCATGGTGACTCGGGTATTGTACGTCGGTGTACTTCGCGTGCACGGTTTGCATGCCATAGCAGCGTTTGCATTAGCCGCTGAGGGCAGTATTATGTACCATAGTGGATTGTTGAGTACTAGTATCTCAAGTTTTCAGATCTTTTCAAAGTTTTGAGTACTTGTTATGGAGGGGAGAGATCGCGGTATAGCGGGGGTAACTTTAATTTTCTTCAAAAGTTATTTTACAGCAAAGGTTTGAATACGTTTACATCAGATATATTTGTCGATTTGCAAATGTTGGCAAGAAACAGTTACAAATCCCAATTTTGTGCTCAATTTTCAGAGTAAATTAATTTAGCTCGTATAGCAGATAACTGTACAATTTACATAGTCTTTAAAGTTTCAAATGACAATTATTGACTTATTAGGGTCCACTTTGATTTGACCTCAAGAACCCACCATTGTATGGGATATTACTGAACTTACGACCTCCCGTCGTTACGGACGTGTAATTACTTACATGTCAGCAAATGTCACCGTCAATGGATTCGTCATCCAACGCTCCTTGCTACTGGCAGTATAGCAACAAAATTCCCGGTGTACCACAGTATCGGTTAAATCGATCATTTGGGCAACCTTTCTCTGAGCTATGTCACGGAGTCGCCAAAGACAACGGAGCAGTGGAACGAGGAAGGTCTGCGTTTATCGAAACAAGACGTCCCGCTGCAAAGGTAAAGTCCACCTAGAATGCATTATGTTCGATACACGTTTGATATTGTAACTTGTTCTACAATTGTGGTAACTGTTCGATTTGTTTAATTGATGTTCACTGCTTTCTACATGGTCACATGGTAGAAATAATACTCCCCGATTCATTATTGCGTCAACCGCAAACAATTCGTGTACGCTTGTAGCGTTAATCAGCAGTAAACTTCATTTCTATTTTAACAAATTGAACCAACTATTAAACAAACGGGGTTTATTCAGGGTAGATTACATGAAACAGGACCACAACGTTATTTAACTTTAAAAATAGTGCAAGACGAAGTACCCTATTGCTATTCATGGTATCAGAAAAGTCTATATTCCAATAAAATACACATTTTACAATTAGTCACTATCCGTCAATTGTTTAACCCACTATATCATATTACAATGTATATGAGCTCCATAGATATTTTGTGTAATTATGATGTTTGGTTATGAGTACAATTACCATCACGCAGACTGAGTCTAGCCACGCCGACACTCAGTTGTCGCCGCGGCGCGACTTCAGTTCAAATATTCCCCTAGCTTTTAAGCATACGTCTCTATCGACTGTGGTAATCTAATACATTCATAGAATACATGGTGTCATTATTATTTGGTTGAGTCAATATAAGCACAGTCGCAACTAATGTTGAATAATAATTCACCGTGCCATCACTAAATGCAACCACGATGGG